CTTTAAATTTAACATTCTTCATGGTACATAAACCCTCTAGAATAAATCTACTTCATAATCAAATGTGACCTCCCTCTGCCCTCTCCTCCCCCCGCTAAAATTGCTAGACCCACTGGTACAAACTTTCCTACATGGCATCCAACTGATCATATCACTTTGTTTGAGATGCACAAAAGTGTGAAACCTTCCCAGGTCACCCTGAAATTTTCATCTAATCGGGCTTTTAAACTCTAATCTGCAATGTTGGATTTTGCTTAATATAGTTAAGATTCACTGCGGTTTACTCAGTTAATTTAAATAGAGATTTGTTAGGCAACATCAAACCTCATAGGTTTTTCCAAAATCAATCAATATCTTGAACATGAAATATTCTAGTCTCAACAAAAATTATACAAATAAAATGGTTACATTAATAAAATTTCTCAGAAAAATGTGAACATATACCTTTAAATGTATGTGAGAACCGCACTGCTAAGTGACCCCAGGAAAGACTCAGTGAGACAGGGGTGCCCTCAGGATGGGCCCAGGCACACCCACCTCAACCAATCCTAGAGCCCTGCACTGTGGGCAGGGCTGGCAGCACACCTTGCATGTAGCACCTGTCTCTGTCTCAGATGGTAACGGGCAGTCAAGACCAAAGTGTCCACTAAGTATCTTTAAATGACAATACCCTTTCCCCAGTCTGACACTTATCTTGAAAAAAATGAAACTTAAAACAATTGCCTTTAAATTGAAACAACAAAAGCAGCTGGGCTTGGTGGCTCAGCCTGTCATCCCAGCACTCTAGGAGGCCAAGGTGAGTGGATTGCCTGAGCCCGCCAGTTCGAGACCTGCCTGGGCAACTTGGCAAGACCTCATCTCTAAAATAAATCAAAACTAGCCGGGCGTAGTCGCGCGCGCCTGTAGTTCCAGCTACTTGGAAGGCTGAGGCGGAAGGATCGCCGGAGCCCAGCAGGTCGAGGCTGCGGTGGCCGAGAGCAGCCACTGCACTCCAGTCTGGGCGACAGAGAGAGACTCCAACTCCAAAAAAAAAAAAAGAAAGAAAGAAAGAAACATCAAAAGCACTGGGCAAGTTTTTCTGAGCTACCTCATTCTCCTCAGTCATTTCTACTCTGGAATGCACTAAATTCACCAGCCCTCACAAACGTGTGTCTGCGAACATGAGAAAGAACTTGAGGGAAGAGCAAAGGAAGGAAGAACCCGTTCAGAACATTACATCCATTATTCTTAGTTGTTTCCCATTCCTTGGAGAAGGGAGAAAATAGCAGTATTCACTAATTTGATAAAGTAGAAACTTAGTAAAAAAAAGATTTTTTGGTTGAATCAGAAAGCACTTGAACACATCTGAGAAAGTCCTGTAAAGGAAAGGGTAGACAGAGATCATCCAACCACCCCAGGAAAGTACTTGTGTCCAGTGTTCATTAATTCTTCTGACACCATCTGAGCGTACAGGGAAGAGAAGGGAAGGGAAGGGACAAGAATGATGGAAGGGCCCCTTCACAAGGTTGACAGTTTACAGGGAAGGGGGGACAGTGCCAGCAACTCCATGTGCATGGTGTGTGTGTGCATGTCTGTGTGGGGTGTGCATGTGAGGTGGAAATTATAGAGGGACGTGCACAGCACACACAGCCATGACACCCGCTTATATGGACACAGGGAAGCCTCCCCAAAAAAGATGTTCAAGCAATAATCAGAAAAATAAGGAGAAATTAACTACTTTCTGTAATTCTCATATTTTAAAGCTATAAACACAAGTAAATGCAGTAAGAAAAATCAAATGTTCGAAAAGTGATTCGGTATTAAATGCCAATTTGACAGCTCATTTTATAGATTATATAGGAAAAAAATCCCATTATAATTATACGTTGACAAACTTTTTTTTTTTTTTTTTTTTTTGAGTCGGAGTCTCACTCTGTCGCCCAGACTGGAGTGCAGTGGCACGCTCCCGGCCACTGCAACCTCGACCTGCTGGGCTCTGACGATCTTTCTGCCTCAGCCTTTCAAGTAGCCGGAACTATAGGCCCACGCTACCACGCCAAGCTAATTTTTGATTTATTGTAGAGACGAGGCCTTGCCAAGTTGCCAGGGTGGTTCTCAAACCCACGGGCTCAGGAAATCCACTAGCTTTGGCCTCCCACAGTGCTAGGATTACAGGCTGAGCCACCAAACCCGGCGCAAACTTTTTGCTGTACTTGTGCTTAATATACATTCATGTGTTTGTACCTGTATGTATATACACATAGATATACCAAAATACATATATACATATACAGTGCTTGATAAAATACTAACTGAATTGAGTGGGTTGCTGGCCAGAGTTCAGGAAAATATATTTGTTAAAAAGATACTTTTCTTTTTGAAAAGTATTAAGAAAGTGAATGTAAAGTGTTCTCACCACAAAAAAAGATAATTATGAGAGGTGATGTACTTGCTAATTTACTAGAATTAACCATTCCACAATGTATGTATACTTCAAAGCATGTTGTACATGATACATATATATGCAATTTTATGTCAATTAAAAAATAAATTTAGCCGGGCTCGGTGGTTCAGCCTATAATCCCGTGCCTTTGGGAGGCTGAGGTGAGTGGATTGCCTGAGCCCGCAGGTTCGAGACCCGCCTGGGCAGCGAGACCTCATCTCTACAATAAATCAAAAAATCAGCCGGGCGTGGTAGCGCATGCCTGTAATTCCGGCTACTTAGAAGGCTGAGGCGGAAGGATCGCCAGAGCCCAGCAGGTCGAGGCTGCGGTGGCCGGGAGCGGCCACTGCACTCCAGTCTGGGTGACAGAGTGAGACTCCAACTCAAAAAAAAAAAAAATTTAAAAATTTAAAAAATAAATAAATAAATAAATTTGAAGGAAGAAGGATCCTTTTCTTCACACACTTCATTTCCAAGTACAAAATTAAATCTCAGTTATATTGGACTTTGAAAAAGAGGTGAGGTCCCTGTCCCTTTCCTGTGAACCTGGGCTGGGTTTGAGACTTCCCAGTTAGGTCTTAAAAAGGGTACAGTTTTTGCCCAGTTTCTCTTTTTGCAATAGTTGGCTTCCAGGCATCAAATTACATTTCAAAATTATCTTTATTAAAAGTGATACAGGAACTGTTTTTCAATAACTCATATATATTAGACGCCTTATGTAAGTTACTGTAATACCCAGAATTTTTAGGTAAGCAAATCTGAAAGTAGGAAATGAACTTGTTTTAAGATTTGAAGCTGCAAGTTGTAATAAAGCAAACCACCCATGATGATGAAGGATTTTCAAAATCTGTGGCAAAAAAAAAACCAAAACAGTGTTCTAAGAATTGTGGGTTTTGACTTAAGGTTCTAAGCCAAAAAGACTCCTGTATTCTGGACAACAGGACCAATGCTGGGGTTGGCAGAGAAAGCCACCCTATAGAAGGGCAGCAGTCCCAGTCCAAGATTGAGCAGAAGGCCAGGTGCACACAGGGGATCTGGACAGGAGAGCAGTAAGGACCTGGCCTGACTTGTAGCATTTCACACTTCATGTCTTCAGTGGTCTAGAAAGGGGTGACCAACCCCTACACCACGGACTGGTACTGGTCTGTGGCCTGTTAGGAACCAGGCTGCACAGCAGGAGGTAAGCGGCGGGAGAGTAAGGGAAGCTTCATCTGTGTTTACAGGTGCTCCCCACTGCTTGCATTACCACCTGAGCTCTGCCTTCTGCTAGATCAGCAGCAGCATTAGATTCTCATAGGAGCACAAACCCTATTGTGAGCTGTGCATGCCAGGGACCTAGGTTGCACATTTCTTATGAGAATCTAATGCCTGGTGGTCTGAGACGGTGATGCTCTATATTTCATTATATATTACAATGTAAAAATAATAGACATAAAGGGCACAATAAATGTAATGCACCTGAATCATCCTGAAACCATCCCCCCTGCCTCAGTCCATGGAAAAATTGCCTCCCGCAAAACTGGTCCCTGATGCCAAAAAGGTTGGGGGCTGCAGGTCTAGAAGAGCTAATAGGCATCTCCTCATGATATGACAAACCTGAGCCCTATTTTATCCCTCTCTTGGAAAAATGTTTTAACTCAGCCTGCTGAGTTCGGGGACACAGTTTCAATGCTATAGTGGAAGTTACTCAGAAGACAGACGTCGTCTTGCTCTGTAGATGTCCTACTCACCTATGTGGGCCAGATGGGCTTCCTCACAACATGGCAGCTGGCTTTCCCCACAGCAAGTATTCCAAAAAGGGAAGCCAGGCAAAAACTGAATCCCCTTTACAACCAAGCTGGGAAGTCACATAGCAACAAGCTGCCATACATATTTCTGAGTGAGACAGGTCACAAACCGAGCCCAGGTTCACAGGAAAGGGATAGAAACTCCATCTCTTTGACAAAGTCCCATATAAGAAGAATATATAGAATGAGAGATATCACTGAGGCTATTTAGGAAAATACAATCTGGCACTCTGAGTGAGTTCTACAATAAAATCTTAGTCTTCTTTGAAGACTGAAAAATTAAAAACCAGGGTTAAACAGAATCTGGCTAAAAAAATCAATTTGTATGGAATCCTTGAAAGCTGATCCTCTTATTATTTGCAATAAGAAAGTTGTAACTTGTAAGTTGAGCCTACATTACTGCATTGTCCTGTCTCAGTAAATATACTATCATGACTTTGATTTTAACAGGTGCTGATTTGGATTCTCCACTGAGCACTGCAGTTTTTCTGTAAAAACACAGAATACCATGGGCAGGTCAAGATGTGGATGTCGAGCCAGAATGTCTCTTGACCTCCAGGCTGCAGGCTCGGGGTGTGCCCCAATGCCTCATCCCAGCATGCACATGAGGGCAGAGGCCATGCCTTTGCCTCTCCTGGATGTCTCCAAAACACTGAGTAGAAGCTCAATAAATGCCTGAGGAAAGAAGGAAAGGAAGGTAGGACTTTTTATTATTCTCAATTAGAAGCATGTTGTTATGACAGGCCTCATTCTGACAAAAGGAAAGCAAAAACAATGAACTGAGAGCAAACCTCTTCTGTCAGGAAAGCGATCCTTAGAAGAATAGAGCCAGGAGCCAGGTTTCTGATCCTAGATCTGGTTCTGACCTGCTTTGGGACCTTAACCAAGTGGCATAACTTCTTTGGGCCTCATTTTCCTCATCTGTAAAATAAAGGGATTGAATTAGACAAAGTCTTTTTTTTTTTTTTTTTTTTGAGACAAGGTCTCGCTCTGTGGCCCAAGCATGTAGTGCAGTGAGTGGCATGATCACTGCAGTCTCAAACTCCTGGGGTCAAGTTACCCTCCCTCCTTAGCCTCCTGAGTTCCTAGGACTATAAGGGCATCCCATCACGCTCACCTAATTTTTTTTTTTTTTTTTTGAGTTGGAGTCTCACTCAGTCGCCCAGACTGGAGTGTAGCGGCCGCTCCCGGCCACTGCAGCCTCGACCTGCTGGGCTCCAGTGATCCTTCCGCCTCAGCCTTCCAAGTAGCCAGAACTACAGGCGCGTGCTACCATGCCCAGCTAGTTTTTGATTTATTGTAAAGATGAGGTCTCGCCAAGTTGCCCAGGCAGGTCTCAAACCCGCGGGCTCAGGCAATCCACTCACCTCGGCCTCCCAAAGTGCTGGGATTACAGGCTGAGCCACCGAGCCCGGCCTGCCTAATTTTGTGTAGAGACAGGATCTCACTACATTGTCCAGCCTGGTCTCAAACTCCTGGCCTTAAGCAATCCTCCTGCCTTGACCTCCCAAAGTGCTATAACCAGCAAGACTCTTAACTGAGGCCTAGGCATGAGCCATAGCCATGTGCCCATGAATGTGTGCCTCAAGTCTAGTCTATCTTCGAGTTTAAACTCTACAATCTGAATGCTTATTAACAAAGAGAATGAATTCCACATGAATGTGAAAATGTTCTCCCAGAGTCTGGCCAGGGCCTCTTGAAGCTCCTGCCTCCGCAGCCATCACCTTCTCTGGGCTGCCTCGGAGGTCCCACCAGCTCTGATCCTCAGACCTCAGGCCCTGAAATTACAATTACACACAGACGTTTCAGTCAGCCCCATGCAATCAAGATGTTAATATTTTATAAAACCAAAAGTTCCATCAAGGGGAATCGTTTTCAAAGAAACCATGCTACATATATTTTTTTAAATGGTGTGTGTGTGTGTGTGTGTGTGTGTGTGTGTGTGTGTGTGTTTCTTTCAAAGATGTGGGGTATGGTCATTGCCTTGCTAAGTTATGGCCAGGCCATGTTTTCTTAAGCTTTGGACCCCTACCCTACCTTGGGAGGTAAAACTCCTCTTTCTCTTTCTTTCTAATTTACTTTCTAAATAAACTATATTTTGTAATCTTAAAAAAAAAAGATGCGGGATACAATTCAGAGTTAGGTACATAAGTGGTCATCGCACAGGTAAAGTTTGATACTCTTATTGATGTTATGTGCCACCCCCAGCAGAGTCCCACTACTGCCAATTCCTTTCTTAGAGCTATATATATTTTTAACAAACAGCAAATAATGCTTTGGTAATGAAAACAATAGGCTCTCATTTATTATATTCACGAGTTTGAAGTTCTAAATATGCGTCTTTGTAACTTGGGCCTCCCTCCCCAAAACCAACCCCCGATATCCTGGAAACAAACAGGTAGGGCTGCCACCCAGGAAGCCAGGCTCTCTGAGAGCCCTGGCATGTGGTACTGGAAAGGAGCCTTTCAGATGGGCAGAAAGCTCCGCCAGGATACCAGCACAAGGGCTGCAACTGTGCCTTTGGGGATGTCACGGACTGCCAGCCCCATTCTACACAGCCCACAGATTGAGGTGGCGAGTATCACACACACAGGCTAGTTCCCCAGCCTGAAGTTGAAAAGCAAGTCTCAACCACAGTCTACTGCCTGGAACCAAGAGACCACAGCAGTTGTCACCAGTGGAATAACTGAGCTGAATGGACTCCTCTGGTCAACAAGGAGAAAGGATGTGCTTCGCATGGAAAGCTGAATTTATTTACACTAATCATGAAAGCAGGCTCTCAGCTGGAAAATCTCACTTAAAACGCCAGAAGGTTCAGAACCCATTCACAAGCTTTTCAGAAGGCAAGCAGTTGCCATGGTAACCCCGACATTATATTTCTTGGCGTTGGACATATAAATTACCACCTATAATGCATTTAATACAGTTTAGGGCCACTAATTCATAGCAAAATAAACCTCAGTTCTGACTTTTGGTCCTCCCCTAAAATAAACAAAGAGCACCAGCTGGAGGTAGTACCAGCTCACCCCATGGATAAGCACAGAGCGCCACACATCCGAAAATGCTCATCTGAAGGCAAAACAAGAACTACGGAAATCAGATTTCATCATCCACAGCCATATGGTTGAGATTTTGTAAAAGTTCCATCCAGATTAATGAAACTGTCATTGCTTGAGTTAAAGAAACAAATACATTACATCCACATCTATGTCTCTGAAATTCAACTATGTTTAGCAAGTCAAAGAAATAGCAGCTTTCTTCAAAGAATATCTTCAATAATTCAATTAGAGGGCATTTATCAACACCAATAACTCTTCAAGTGTCAAAACTGTCACTAACAAGAAATAAAGTTTTATTTCTTAGGTTCAGAAGAGCTCAATCATAATCCTTTACCTCCACTAGAGATATTCATAAACACTTAAAATACATATATGCATGATTTTTTAAGTCCCTTACCTTCTTATAATCCATCATCTAAACAGAGAGATGAAAACAAAATTATCATGCACAAACTGCAAAGGCATCTTCAATTCCACATTCCTGGGAAGCCCACTGCATCTGTAACTTAGCAGAGCTACTGCAGAAACTGCCTGTGCTAGCCCCAGCATTCCCCAAATCACGTACGTTCTAATCACTAAACCACCAGGTCCAGGAGTATTACCTTCATTACCTCCTTCTTCAGATTGCAGGCAACAGTCAGCAGTTGTGAAGGGGAGCGGAAGACTTCACCATGGGTTGTTTCCATATTAACAGGGACTTTGGTAACCGCTGCATTGCAGTCTTTCTGAAAGCTACCAGCCTCAGAAGCAGAAGCGCTGGAGAGAGACTCCCCAGCACAGGAAACTGCCTTTCAAATCACAAAGATTTTTTAGAATCTTAAAAAAACGTTGCAACCACCTGGGGGTATTTCTAGATTTCCTACCTGTTTCCTAAAGGCTGACTGGTTTGTGGTTTTTACTGGAGGATGGCTGTCACAACTGACTGTGCTGGGTAAGAATGCTGAAATGAATGAAATGTACATTATGACACACCATCTTAGCTCAAGTACTCCCTGCGAGAATCTGCACATCTGCTGCTTAGCACCAGCCTCAAAGCCCCTGCTGAGCTCCTGGGAATGAACCGTGATTTTCATTCCAAAAAATGCAAGTAGAGCAAGCATTTCAAGTTCCTCTGTGGGCAACACTCACCGTGAACACAAGCCACCTTCACAGACAGTAATAACCATTATGTGGTCAGAGAACTGGAAAGACTAACCACTGACCACACAATCAAATTCAGAAGAAGAGACTTTTGACATAACAGCATGCTTACTAAGTAACCTTTAATTTTCATTCATTTATTCAATACATTCAGTGAGAATTAACCACTTGCTGTATGTAAAGGGATACACAGGCTGAGCATCCCTAATCTGAAAATCCAAAATGCTCCAAAATATAAAACTTTGAGTGCTGACATGATGCCACAAGTGAAAAATTCCACACCTGACCTTATGTGACAGGTCACAGTCAAAACTTTGTTTCAGGCATAAAATACTTAAAATACTGCATAAAATTACCTTCAGGCTATGTGTATAAGGTGTGTATGAAACAAATGAATTCCATGCTTACACTTGGGTTCCATCCCAAGATAGCCAATGATATATATTCAAACATTCCAAAATCCAAAACACTTCTGGTCCCAAGCATTTCAGATAAGGGATACCCCACCAGCATGACTAAGAGAAGCTGTCATAGTGGCTGCAGGCGCTTTGGTGGGAAGACTAATGGTGAACAAGCAAACGTGAGTGGTGGAAAGGGGCCAAGGCCAGCATGGAAGGCAGAGCCAAGGCCAGCTAGTGATCCAGAACAAGGCTCTGTGAGGAAGGAACCCCAAAGGGGAGCTGAGAGGGAGGGACGTGGGAGAACACCTCCAGACGGCCGGACACATTCCTCAGGATGTACTTGTGGGTCAGCAGGGGTGATCATTCATGGCATGAGTCCATCAGCCTCATAGCAGCCCTGAGTGGGTACCACCACCACCACAACAGCGATACCTAAGTATCAGTACTGGAGCATCTGGGACCTGAGATATACACTTGTCTAAGGCCCATGGTGACCAAGTGGCGGTGCCAGGATTCGAACCCAGCAGGGCAGCACTGTCCTATGCTGTCCCATGACACTGCTCTCAATCAGTAAGTTATCTTGCAGCGATTCTGGTAACCAATCCCTCTGCGAGATTAAGGTCTAAGTTGCCTCTGTTCGGATGTGTTTGGTTCCACTCTCTGTCTAGTGCCCAGCCTGACACTGAACAGCTCCCAGGTAAAAAGACTGGATGAATGAACAAATTACGGAAGCTACTCGTCACTCCCTCATTCCTGTCACAGGAAATGACCTGCAGTAGCCCTGCAAACAGTATGCTGTTCTCGCTGATGAAAACACCCCTTCTTTGCGTTTTCTCTGTCTACACACTTCACACCTTAGGCTCTGGAATATTCTCCTCTAGTGAGTCTTACTGACTCGCTTCCTACCCCAAGCAGCAAGGCCCCTTTCTCTGGACTCCCACTGGCCCCAGTGTCATCACACTTGATGGAGACGGTTCTGCATCTGGTCCTCCACTGAAGCCCCGCAGGCCAGGGAAGTCTGTATCTGCAGTGCCTAGCACATTACTCTTGCAGCTGCATTCCAGGAAGACTCGCCACAGGTCAGCCACCACCACTCCACACAGAGCTCACCTGTCTCTCTGAGAGGCAGCTACTAGAATTCCTTCCATCTGACAGCCAGGACACAGGCCCAGAGAGGCTAAGTTCAGGATTCAAACCCAGGCACCCAGCCTCACAGGCCACACCCTCACCACTCCTTCTCCTGTTTTGTAGGCACCAAAGAGAGATCATTGACACCAGTTTGGAAACACGATGTTTACCTCGTGGGAGTAGGAGGGATTTG